AGCACTCACCCATGGAACTCTCTTCCCCTTTCCCCATTTTCGTTTCACCTCCCCACCTCCCGCATTTCCATTCCTTTTTCTTCCCAGTTTTTTTTTAGTTTGAAAGCTTCCATTGGTGTGGAGGAACATCAAGGAGCGTCCAGATCATCAACCATCGTGAGGAAGTATACATCAAAAACAAAATCTAAAATAAAAAAAGTAACCTTTAAACGGAGGTGACATCTTCAACGGATGTCAACATTCGTTTAAGGTAAAACAACGGATGTTGACATCCGTTGAAGGATGTTGACATCCGTTGAAGGATGTCACGTTTAAAGGTTACGTTTTTTTATTTTAGGGTTTTATTTCAAGGTTTATTCGAATACGAGGAAGCACGACACGCACTGCACCACGCCACGCACTACACCACGAGAGGGAGACTGCTTGATAATTCTTTCCACCACCACCAACCTTTGCAACTTGTAGTATCTCACAACGACGAAAGAAAGAGAGAAAGAAATATAATGTTAAAATGAAAGAAAAGTATTTTACTCATGTACAGGACTAGAATAGGTTGCTAGTGAAATAGGTTGTGAATAAGTAAAATTAAAAAATAATAACCCTAAAAATAAAATTTTACTAAGGGACAAAATAATAAAGGAGAGGTGGAGGGAAAAAGGTGTGGTGGTGGAGGGAGCAACACCCTTGACTTGATCACTGATCAGGGATTAGTTTTTAAAACTAGCCCTAATTCCAATTAACCCTAAATTAAAAGAATCTCCAAAACCCAAATTTTCAATTTTAATTTCAATTAAACGAAACCCTACCGTTATTATATTCCAAATAAAAAAACAAACTTCTATCTCTCTTGATATAGAATTCAATTACGTGAATTCTTATAGCATTTAATTATGTGATTTCTTATAGAATTCTATTACGTAGAATTCAATTACTTAGAATTCAATTACTTGAATTCCAAATGCATAATAACGTGATAACGTACAAGAAACAATACAATTTATTTATGATTACAGGATCAACCCAAAAATTCATAAATCATCTTATCAAACCAAAATATTCAATCATGATATTAAACATTCAATTAAATTAATCACCATTACCTTTTCATAATCATAAAAAGATACTTAATAAAATGTTCACATTCATAATACAGTAAAGAAAAGTAAGGTTCTCATACTTCCAAATATATTCCCAAATTCATCATATAATAAAATAATAAAATAAAGGTAAGATTTCCATACCTTAATCAATTATAAAGCTTTAAGATTGAAGATCAATCAACCACATACCTAAGTTTCTCCTATCTCCTCTTCAAGTTCTTTGTCTCAGAGTTCTTTTCACTCAAATGTTACGTAGCTATTTCTCTACGCCTTCCCTTTATTTTATTTCTATTTCTCTTTTAATAAACTCACTTTTATCTTTTAAAAATAAATTATATTAAAACTTAAAGAAACCACCTAAGTAGTGCTCCCTAAAATATCTCTATAATATCTCAAGTGGTTTTAAAAACGTAATTTATTTATTTTTCAAATTTTCAAGTACTTTTCTTTATTTCCTACACTTTTATTTATAATTTTCGCACCTCAATTACAAAAATGGAAAAGACATTTTTGCCCTTAAGCAAAAATATAAATAAAATCAAACAAAGGTTTCACATAAACCTTTCTTCCTAGTATTTGAACTCATATCTATTCAATTCAAAACACACATCTCTACCAATAGGGCAACACATCACATTAAAAACATAGGACATAAAAAGTTTAACAATCATACGATAACATGTGTTACACTTATATTAACAAAATAATTAAATATCATAGAACTTTATTTTCTACTCACCTTGTAAACTCATGTAGATTCTAATAAATCATTAGTCAAATTTTATTTATAAACTCTAAATTTCTTGGGTCTTACACATTTTGCCAAGTTTGAAGTATAATCATCAGGCATTTTAAGCTCCCCCATCTAAGGACAAACTACTTTAGTGTCCTCTTTTGTTAAGGTGTAATTTGCTCTTGGCTTAAGCAATCCACCATTAGCTTGCGAGATCAACTCCAAGTCTCTTCGGCCACGATATAGAGCTAAATTTTTTCTTAAGTAGTCACTATTTTTTGTTTTTCCACTAATATTCATCATGATGTTGAAGATGTTGTCAAAGAAAGGTTTTTCAATATAGATGACATTGAGATTATGTTTTAGTAAGTTATCTTTCCAATACGAAATGTACACCCCATTTTAGAATGTCACAAGTTGTGATCAATTTCAAAATATTTCAAGTGAAAAAACAATACTAACAAAAACTTTATTAATTGAACAAGCGAAATTAAGATAAAAACATAAAATGTTCAAATATAATATCTAGTTACATCATTTTCAAAGCTTATTAAATAAAATCCTTTAATAAAAACCCAAGAATTCTCCATCCTTACACGTCTCTATACTACATCAGGAACATCTACTCACACAAACAAAAACAACAAACAGAGGTAATCTACCATTAAAACAACAACTCAAAAAGTAAGAACAGTGATAAACATAACATTTACACTTGATGAAATCACCTATATGAGTGACGAGTGGGGTCGCTTGCATCAGATCTAGAGCACTCATGAATATCGAGCACGCACGTGACCTAGTAAGTGAATCACAACAATAATAACAAGGATTGTGATGGTATATTGTGATTGATAAACCTTTAACACACGTCAAGTGTCTCTGGTTCAGATAGTTTACTATATCAACTACACTGTATGTTAAGTTTCTCAATCTAAGATTGATTCATATATTTTGTTACACTAGTTCTTATGCATTACATCTTATTAAATCCGGAATATTTTTTTTTCTATCTCTTTTGTTTGTTTTTCTTTCTTTCTTATGTTTTGTAATATGTGGGCTATTGTTATAAATTGCTAAAAATATCAAAGATTCTCTCTTGGATCCTTCGCCAAAGTTTCGGTCAAACTTTGTTGGTTTTGTTTTGAACGTTGCAAGCTCGTTGCAAATGAACCGGTGCCCGATTTTCTTGTTCCTTCTCTGCAAGCTAAGGCCTTCATACGGTCTATAAATAGACCTTTACTCTTCCAGAAACACACATTTTTCTCTCGTTATCCTGTTTTCTCTTATTTTCTTACTTTTCTTTTTTCTTTCTTATAATATCCTGATTTTATTATTTTTGTGAGCATTTTTCGACACTAGGTAAATTAAAACTCGTTTGAGAGCTTTCCAATGATTTGTCATGTGGCTGGTGAATGAACTGGGAGAGTTTGTTGAAGGAGAAAGCAAGTTCAGAACGCATGATGGTAAGGAGAGAGCGTAGCATCGGGAAAGACAAGATAGCCATGACTGACCAGATGAAGGGATGAAACCATAGGTGTCGATGTGGGTTTCGCTTCCAGCATACTTGCCTTGCAGTTTGATATTATTAGAGAATAAGCTAATTAAACTAAATTAAGACATAACACAAAACATTCATCATCACTACTCTTGATTTTCATAAATAATTCATTTAATTAATTACATAACATTCAACACAATCCATATCATTAATTAGACAATTTTGGAAAGACACATTAGGTACTAGCTCTAGAAAATAACTCTTGTAAGATCTAATTGGATGTCTCCAAAGTGGTCATGTTCATGTTTTTCTAGAATTTCTTAAGGTAGCTTTTAAAACTCTTATGAGATATGTGACTACTCTTACATTCACACGGGTAATAGAAACATTAATCAATTTCTCACCATCTCATACCCTCATCTATATGATTAGAGTCATAAAGTAAAGTTTAAAATTATATCTTAAGTTACCTAGTGCTTACACTGTATTAATACTCTATTTTTTTGTACATCGTACATGAAATAATATGAATGATTAAATTTTTAGGTTTCTCTTTCTTCTTTACTTGAAAAAATTAGTTTACATCCTAAGTGAAAAATTGAATAGTAGAGTTAACTCATGCCTTATTTAATGTTGAATGTTCTTAATAAATCCTTCTCAACATAATCCAATACAAAGTCTGTCGTTTTAATTTAATTTTATCACGTCAAACTTCTCATAGTTTTCTTTATTACACTCATCTTGTATGTTTTTCTATTTATTTATTTCTCTATATAGTTGAACCCTAAATTATATCACATCATAGAGTATTCCAAATAAATATGCGAAAAACGACAAACAATAACATAAACAATCCTGCTCCATATTTTGATTATTCGTCTTAAAAGAAAAAACCTAGATCTATATAATTATTAAAAGATAAATCTAGTTTTATAATGAATAATCATAAATTGATCCAATATTTTTATTCCATTTCTTACCTTTTTGATGTTTCATCATAAAAAAACATGACTAAACTATATTTCGTGTATTATCTTAATTGTTTTTGTTATAACATCTAAATGAACTTTTAAATATTATAAACTTTCAAGTTATACCGACAAATAGTTTTTTCTACTACTAATAATAGATAGTTTTAATTGAGAATATAATTTTCTTACATATCATCAATAAACTCTAAACATAAAATGTAAAATCAGATAGAAAAAAAAAATCTTACTTAAACTGAATTGGGTAAGTTTAATACATTAAAAGTGAAAACTAAAAATTTGATAAGAAAATAAATGAAAATGAAAATGTTAATTTTTTTATTAAAAAATGTTTTTCTTTATCTAAACAAACATGCCTATTTAGAAATCCTTATTAAATTCTCGTATTGTTTTAAACAAAGCCATGTCTACAATATTACCCTCCAGAAAGATCTTTTTTTTTTTCTATATTTAAAATGCTTTATTTATAATAAACAAGCCATTTAAAAATAAATCACAGAAAACAATAGACGTAAACGTTAGCAGAAAACTATATTCAAATAGTACCAGAAATATTTGATAAAAAAGAAACTTTCAAAACCTATAACGAAGCTTCAATTTCCAATAGTCTAAATTTTTCCGCATCAAACTCAACAACTCTCACAATACTCTCTCTCTTCCAAACCATCATCACAGAAATGAAGGTTTCATTATCAACACCATTCACTGGCATACCATTGTGGGTTTTGATTGTGGCAGTTTCAATATCAGCATTCATTGTTGTGATCTGCATCATTTTGTGCTTTTGCTTCGTATATTATCCTCGTAAAAAACCATACAAACCTCGTTTTTCTTTACCTAAATCAATAGCATGCAAGCACCACAATGATGATTTTAGCTCTTCCTCTCTTGACAAGAGGTTACTATCAGCATCAGGGAATGTCTCAGAACATAGTATGAACTTTCAGAAGTTGTCATCGGGTTATTACAATCATGAGTTGTTCATACCTGGTCAGTTTTATCCAATGGGATATGACAGTTCAAATGATAGGTATTTGGAAGGTTTGGGATCAAAAGGTAAGTTATGTTGCACAGTCAATGATAAAAGTAAAGGGTGGAACTTTAGCCTTAAGGAGATAGAGGATGCTACCAATGGATTTTCTAAAGAAAATGAGCTTGGAAGTGGAGATAATGGGATTGTATATCTTGGTTTGTTACCAAGTAATTATCAAGTGCTAGTGAAGAGGCTAGTATGTAAAAGGTACATTACTTGTATGGAATTTTTGTTTAAATTCCTATTCAGTTCAATTTTATAGGGTTTACTAGTTCATATTGATGAGAAAAAGATGCATATTTATTGAGCTATGTGATTGTCAAATTTGATTTCTTAGTAACAACTTACAATAAATTTTAACATGATGCTTTAATCCTGTTTGTAATCTGCATTCCTGAATGCATTCACTATTGCTTTGCTAAATTTATGGAATTTAGTGAAGACGGAAATGGGTTTTTTAAGCTTAATCTAATTAGAATCATCAAGAAAAACTTCTTCATATTGCTTGACAAAAGTATGAAGTAACTTCCTTCTATATTTTGTTATGCATATTTTGTTCCAGTTTGTTGTTTGCTGACACTTGATCAAATAGAATGTGTTTTGGTATATGAGATCGAGGTTAAGTCTATTACTTAAAGGGTTTCTAATCTCTAAGCTTAGGTCAAGGTTTTGTCTCTAATCTCCTTGTCATTCGGTCGAACTCAGGTGATACTTGTAGAAAACACTCTAATAGAAGGCTCAATTTAGCCTCCAACAAAGCACATGTGAAACCAAAACAGAAAATATTACAATAGAAGAATATATCGGACATAAAAGTCCTATATACAGTATTATTGTTTGGTATATTCTTCTGATATGCTATTTTCTGTTTTGGTTTTACATGTCCTATGTTGGGCCAAATTGGGCCTTGCTTCTATTATAATGCCAAAGTCAATGTTTATTCGAAAGGACTAGCAATAAATGTATAGTAAAAAGTAATCAACTACCTACATAGCAAACATGTATTTATAGATTTTGGGATGGATTTTTAATTAGTGTTAGTTTAATTACAACCCAAATGGTAATGATTTAACTTAAGGTTAGTATAATTTTATTTTTAGTGTTAATTTTGTTTATAACCTGACGGATGGTTCATGTGGGATTTAAAGACTTGTTGACTGTTCGGTTCATGATTCACCAAACAGTTATATTATATAGAATGAATAATCACACTCTAATGGTGAAAAATATGTCTCCATTGAATTTGATGCAAACATGTGAATAATGACTTGAACTTTTTACCTGATTCATAGTCACCAACCTGAGGAAATTTTTGCATTCCAAATGGAAGCAATTGGACTTGCAAAGCACAATAACCTGGTCAAATTACTTGGATATTGTGCAGAGGGTGCTTACAGGTATATACTACTTGTCAATTTCTAAAGCTAAAAGGTTCTGTATATCAAGTTCCGATCATATCCAACATCCTGAATATTTAAATTGTTTTTCTCTATCAGGATGTCAGTTTCTGAATATGTAGAACATGAAAGTCTGCACCACTGGCTTCATGAATTTCCTGCACAAATCAGCCCTCTAACATGGGATATAAGAAAGAACATAATTCACGGTGTGGCAAAAGGGTGAGAACAGATGTTTATGTATTCATTATAACTTTATCTACAAAAAAAAAATATTGATATAATAGTACCTAAGGCAAATTATTTATGCAGACTGGCATACCTTCATGATGAAGTTAAACCAAAGATTCTCCATGGCAGCTTAAAAACTAGTAATATTTTGCTGGACCACAAATGGAATCCAAAAATATCTGATTTTGGCCTTGTTGAGGTTCTCAGTTCCAAAAGGAGTCACACTATACTTGAAGTGGAAGCATTGGGGTCAGTTGTCTTTCCTTCACAAAATTATCAAATTAATTATCTTTATTAACAAATGGACTTTTAAGCTTAACTCAGTCTTACAATTATAAAATAAACGGTTGCATCTATTTGTATATGGTAAATTGACCTTATCACTAGTTAATTAACGTGGGACTTCAAACAAACTTACTACATAATTTCATACAATACACATGGTGAACCATTTCTTATCATACAATACTTTATGATGTTAATTTCTCTGTTTTGTCTGTATAATATTTTTTACACTGTCATTCATTCAGAATTCATGTTATCTATGACTTTTAAAATAATTATTAAAAATTACTAAATTTACCATTCTAACAACATTGAAGGATCATAAAAAGAGACTTCTTATTTGATTCAACTAACACTCAATTTTCAAATTCATTTTCATTTTTTTAGCTCCAGTTATGAAGCTCCAGATTGTCATGCAAGTAGTAACTTAACTGAGGGTAATGATATTTATGATTTTGGATTACTTATTATGGAGATTGTATCAGGAAAATTCCCTTCATATCACGGCCATACACAGGTACAACTACCCGTGTTGGATTCATCAGTTGCTGGTTTTCATTTCTGCACACTTGTCTTTCAGATAATGAATCTAACATGATTCCAAATTGCAGGCTAATATAGTGGACTGGTTCAAATCAATGATTTCCAATGGGAAGATGGAGAATGCAATAGATTCAAAATTGCTTAAAATGCCTTCTTCCAAGGCACTTAAACAGGTTGCTTTGGTTGCTCTAAGATGTGTAGATCCTGATGTGAATCCTAGACTCAAGATGAGAGATGTGGTTTGCATGCTTGAAACCAACATTCTTCTTTTTGAGGTAATAACCATTATCTATTCATTTTTAGGTCCTACTTTCATTCATTTTAGTCCTTACATCTAACAAAGTTATGCTAAAAACATTTGTAATGAGAGACAGAAATCATTTCATTTAATCAATTGCAAGGATTAAAAATCAGTAAAAACTTTTATGGGGACTAAATATCTTTTGTAACCAAAACCATATTTAACTTGGACCTGATTTTTAATTCCCTCTTCCTCATTTATTGAAGGAACGTCAAATTGCCATGAAGACTTTAGAAGCCAATCACTGGACAGAAAATCAGAAAAAAATAGGTGATACCAAGATGTAAACAGCAGCAATTTACCTTCAGAAAATGGCAAGAAAACAACAGTACTGTTCTTATAGTATACACACCAATTTGAAAGAAGTTTTCAATTATTTCATGTTGTTAATGAGTTACTTGAGCTTTATTCTTGTGCATACTTCATTTAGTCAAATGTCAATTTACTAAGATCCGTAGAAAATTTCTTCCTCTTATTCATTCATCCTCTGTAGTGCATGAGAGATTAAACTAAAGTAGGGCCAGAATGTAACCACTTTTTCAACAAGCTCCTTAAAATTTAGCAGTTGTTAAGTAGCCACACAGTGTCTTCCAATCAGGGTACAAATTACAAATTCACGTTAGTGTTTTTGCTTCTTAATTTATAGCAAATTATAGCAATGGTTCAAACAGTGACAGTGACAACCTTGCAGTAATCAAATGCAATTTAGTATTCTTCTTATCGAAACATGGATTTTTCAGTTTATACGAGCCAATACACTTGAATTTTCCACTATATTTCTGGTCACATATAGGATCACTATAGTTGATGAAATCATCGTTTGACACCTATTACTGATATCATGATATTCCAAACCTAAAAATATCATTTGGGTAATAAGAAAAACATACCATTTATTCTATAAGTTTGATTTTTCAAAACTCCCATATGAANATCACACTCTAATGGTGAAAAATATGTCTCCATTGAATTTGATGCAAACATGTGAATAATGACTTGAACTTTTTACCTGATTCATAGTCACCAACCTGAGGAAATTTTTGCATTCCAAATGGAAGCAATTGGACTTGCAAAGCACAATAACCTGGTCAAATTACTTGGATATTGTGCAGAGGGTGCTTACAGGTATATACTACTTGTCAATTTCTAAAGCTAAAAGGTTCTGTATATCAAGTTCCGATCATATCCAACATCCTGAATATTTAAATTGTTTTTCTCTATCAGGATGTCAGTTTCTGAATATGTAGAACATGAAAGTCTGCACCACTGGCTTCATGAATTTCCTGCACAAATCAGCCCTCTAACATGGGATATAAGAAAGAACATAATTCACGGTGTGGCAAAAGGGTGAGAACAGATGTTTATGTATTCATTATAACTTTATCTACAAAAAAAAAAATATTGATATAATAGTACCTAAGGCAAATTATTTATGCAGACTGGCATACCTTCATGATGAAGTTAAACCAAAGATTCTCCATGGCAGCTTAAAAACTAGTAATATTTTGCTGGACCACAAATGGAATCCAAAAATATCTGATTTTGGCCTTGTTGAGGTTCTCAGTTCCAAAAGGAGTCACATTATACTTGAAGTGGAAGCATTGGGGTCAGTTGTCTTTCCTTCACAAAATTATCAAATTAATTATCTTTATTAACAAATGGACTTTTAAGCTTAACTCAGTCTTACAATTATAAAATAAACGGTTGCATCTATTTGTATATGGTAAATTGACCTTATCACTAGTTAATTAACGTGGGACTTCAAACAAACTTACTACATAATTTCATACAATACACATGGTGAACCATTTCTTATCATACAATACTTTATGATGTTAATTTCTCTGTTTTGTCTGTATAATATTTTTTACACTGTCATTCATTCAGAATTCATGTTATCTATGACTTTTAAAATAATTATTAAAAATTACTAAATTTACCATTCTAACAACATTGAAGGATCATAAAAAGAGACTTCTTATTTGATTCAACTAACACTCAATTTTCAAATTCATTTTCATTTTTTTAGCTCCAGTTATGAAGCTCCAGATTGTCATGCAAGTAGTAACTTAACTGAGGGTAATGATATTTATGATTTTGGATTACTTATTATGGAGATTGTATCAGGAAAATTCCCTTCATATCACGGCCATACACAGGTACAACTACCCGTGTTGGATTCATCAGTTGCTGGTTTTCATTTCTGCACACTTGTCTTTCAGATAATGAATCTAACATGATTCCAAATTGCAGGCTAATATAGTGGACTGGTTCAAATCAATGATTTCCAATGGGAAGATGGAGAATGCAATAGATTCAAAATTGCTTAAAATGCCTTCTTCCAAGGCACTTAAACAGGTTGCTTTGGTTGCTCTAAGATGTGTAGATCCTGATGTGAATCCTAGACTCAAGATGAGAGATGTGGTTTGCATGCTTGAAACCAACATTCTTCTTTTTGAGGTAATAACCATTATCTATTCATTTTTAGGTCCTACTTTCATTCATTTTAGTCCTTACATCTAACAAAGTTATGCTAAAAACATTTGTAATGAGAGACAGAAATCATTTCATTTAATCAATTGCAAGGATTAAAAATCAGTAAAAACTTTTATGGGGACTAAATATCTTTTGTAACCAAAACCATATTTAACTTGGACCTGATTTTTAATTCCCTCTTCCTCATTTATTGAAGGAACGTCAAATTGCCATGAAGACTTTAGAAGCCAATCACTGGACAGAAAATCAGAAAAAAATAGGTGATACCAAGATGTAAACAGCAGCAATTTACCTTCAGAAAATGGCAAGAAAACAACAGTACTGTTCTTATAGTATACACACCAATTTGAAAGAAGTTTTCAATTATTTCATGTTGTTAATGAGTTACTTGAGCTTTATTCTTGTGCATACTTCATTTAGTCAAATGTCAATTTACTAAGATCCGTAGAAAATTTCTTCCTCTTATTCATTCATCCTCTGTAGTGCATGAGAGATTAAACTAAAGTAGGGCCAGAATGTAACCACTTTTTCAACAAGCTCCTTAAAATTTAGCAGTTGTTAAGTAGCCACACAGTGTCTTCCAATCAGGGTACAAATTACAAATTCACGTTAGTGTTTTTGCTTCTTAATTTATAGCAAATTATAGCAATGGTTCAAACAGTGACAGTGACAACCTTGCAGTAATCAAATGCAATTTAGTATTCTTCTTATCGAAACATGGATTTTTCAGTTTATACGAGCCAATACACTTGAATTTTCCACTATATTTCTGGTCACATATAGGATCACTATAGTTGATGAAATCATCGTTTGACACCTATTACTGATATCATGATATTCCAAACCTAAAAATATCATTTGGGTAATAAGAAAAACATACCATTTATTCTATAAGTTTGATTTTTCAAAACTCCCATATGAATGACTATATCATTCTCTTAAAAGAATGACACACTTTTGAAGGAACAAGTCTTCAGCTGAACACTTTCGATGGGCACTTTGTCATCTGGATAAGGACACTCAATTTTCTCTTTCTTCTCTGGGAGCAATTCACAAGGCCTAGGATACACATTGCTTGTCACACCCTCAACATCAGTGCAATTCCATTGCAATTTCTTATCACCACTATGGATAGTGACATTAGAAATGCAGATTCCTGTAAAGGGATCATTAGCAATTCCATCAAGTCTTGCAGAATATGTTACATTATCTGCAAAGACATCTCTGTAGTTTATTCCAGTAATGTTGGGAAGTGCTTTGGGATCAAAGTCAGGGTCAGGGTGTGAGCCATAAGAACCTGTCATCCAAAACACATACTTCATGGTCTTCAAGTTCATCCCTTTCACAAATATGTCTTTCACATATCCACCTCTACCAACTGCAGTTTTTATTCTAACTGCTGATTCAGTGTTGATAGCTGTAAGGTCTTCAGCTCTGACATCTTGGATTCCACCAGACATTTCACTGCCTAAAGCAATCATAGCACTATCAGGGGATACACATTCAAGCCTTCTAATTATGATGTGTTGGCTTGGCATTCCAAATTTTATTCCATACTCATCCCACCCACTTTTTATTGCTATACAATCATCACCAGAGACAATATAGCAATCTTCAATTCTAGTGTTGGTGCAAGAATCTGCTAAAACGAGGACATAGTTAGGCAATGGCTAAATTTTGCATAGCACCAATATTGTTTAGTAGTAATTGAAAATTTTTCACGCGAATGCCACTGTGTTCATCTTCTGTTTATAATTATAGTAAAAGAATTATATAAATCACCTGGATTTATTCCATCTGTGTTAGGAGAGTCAATAGGAGCAAGAATGGTCAGTCCCTGAATTATGATGTCACTGTAGAGACATGGATGATAAGAACAACAGAAAATATTGAGCATTAAGTTTAAAGCATGTATACAAATGAAAATCATTGTGACACCTGCTGTAAATTGGATGGACAAACCAAGATGGAGAATTGATCAGAGTAAGATTTGATATCTGGATGTGATTAGAGAACATAATCTCAATTGTGTAAGGCCTGGTGAGTTTCAATTCACCCTTGTGGAACTTGTCCCACCAATAACATCCTTGTCCATCAATTGTCCCATTGTAACCTTATGAACAGAAAAAAGTGACATGAAAAGCGATTTCCAATGAGAAATTACCTTAACAAATTCTAATAGTTGTTTAGTTATAGGGCTAGTAGTTACCAGTGATTACTACATCGGTGAGTTTAGTTCCAAAAATGAGACTACTAAATCTTCCATCGGGAGCATCTCTTCCTCTGCCATATGATGGTAGAACAGCAAGTGTTGGCCACTCTGATTCATCCTTTCAATATGAGTCTATGGTCAATAAACATCAAAATAAATAAATAACTATAGATTATGATGTCAAATGTAGCTTAACTAACGTGCCAATAATTCATAGTTAGAAGAAAAGGTGAAAAGTAAGTGAAATGATACTAGGTAGCCAAATTCCAATAATGAACTGTAACAAATAACAACATCAGAAAGAAAATAACATGTTTTCTCCCAAGATATATACCTATTGAGTATAAGACTAGACATTAATAGATGGTATAATAGTGGTTTAATAGTGAATAGCACACTAGATCAACAAACAACAATTCTTGTTAAAATAGGTTTCAGATGGTCACTCTAATACTAAAGAAGTGAATTTTAAATTTAATTTAATCTTATACTGACTTGTAATTAAGATGAAGCTGACTTGCAATTGAGATTAGGTTTACACTCACTTATATAATATAATATAAATTTGTCTTATCTCTAGTTAACATGGAATCTCCAACAATATCTTTAGTATAATAGTGGTTCAAGAGTAAATAGTCTAATAGATTTAACAAACAACAAATCTCACTAAAATACGTTTCAAATGGTATGATTGCTCTGATACTAAAGAAATAGATTTTAAATTTAATTCAATCCTAACTTATGATTAAGATAAGGCTGGCTTGTAATTAAAATTATATTTACACCCACTTACATATATAATTTTGTCTTATTTCTAATCAATGCGAGATTTCCAACCATAGCTTTCATCAATGTATTTTTACACTATAAAATAGGGTGCACATATGTGCATGCAGAAACGAGATCATATTATATATTTATTAGTTAAACAAAAGTACAATTTTGTAACCTGTGTTGCATCTCAATAATTACATGGTTGGCCACATGCTATAACATGAAACCATCAAATATTCTGATAATTAAAAAAATGAAAGACGAAGAGAATGTTTTAATTCAGAAAAAAGAGGAGGGTAGAATGAATGAAATACCTGAGATGCAAGAATGGTGGCTTCACTTTGGAGGAAAAGGGTGAAATGGCTTGTGAGATTGAAGCTTCCCGTTAGCCATGTCCCTGGTGGCACAACAAGTAGAGCTCCACCATCAGATGCATAATGACTGAGGTTGCTAATGGCATATTGAAAGGCCTTGGTGTTAGATGTTTTTCCATCTCCAACACCACCAAAATCAGTCAAAAATGCTGTGTGTTTTCTGCAGCTGATAGCAGGGTACTCAAGGTAATCCAATTCATTGGCTACTTTGCATTCAACAATCCTCACTCCTTGTAATCCCAGCAACAAAACTGTGAAGATCACCCCAACAACCTGCACAATAAAACCAGACAACTCAAACACCAGTTTACTGATCCTTAATTCATTATTTTAAGGTTTTAAAATTTAAACCACTCTAACGTATTTTGTAGGTTTCCATGGCTACTATCAGTTCACGAGAGAACTCTAACTGCTGTTTAACGCCTTGAAAAGTAATCTTTATGTACATAAGAATAAAGAAAAGGAAGAAGAGGGTTCCATGAACGTGCAAACACAGGAACCAAAATGATTTCCAACACATCCTTCACGCGTACATACATGCATATCGACCATGAAATTAAACATTCAATAATATGATAGACCCAATAAACAATAAATCTCACAAAAAAACCATGTTAAGAAAAAGCCTAACTTAATCCTGTAAAACCCGTTTGTTTACACCATTTATATACTATGAATTTGTTTCATGTATAGTCAGTGTTGGGTTTCTACAACACTGAAATACACTACGAAAATTCAGAAAAAAAACATTGTATATATCAGGAAAGCTCAATGCACACACAGAAAATAACAATTACATAGGAGTCACTGAATTTTGGACACAGCTTCATAGTTTGACTGTGACTGTGATGCTTCTTTCGGTTTAATATCCTTGGTGGCACAGAAGACAAAGGGATCATATTTAAAGAAAATTATTAGAATTACTGTGGAGAATGGAGAAGAGTATATCTGAGGAGAGATTATCGGAGAATCTGAGGATCGTGGTGAGATGCAATGCTACATTATAGAATATAAGAAGTGTAGTTACGTGTCAGGAAACCACAGTATGGTCACATGTGATGGCAGTTACAGCAAAAGATGTTATCGTGTATGGGAATGTACCATGATGTCTTGCCATTTTTAAAACCCCATTTTCCTTTCTGGGAAGATCTTGAACAGTTACTTATTCAACTATCATGATAGGTAGGTTCACATGTAGAAATTTTGCTCCATTGTTGACAGTTCTTTCAAAAAGTTCTTGCTCTTGGAACACTGCACGACTCTAAGAACGTGATATGGCATAATTATGATTTGTAAGTTACATTATTCAAAAAGGCTAAACTTTAGGAAGAAGCATTACTTTACTAATGCGTCTACAAATGAAATAACAATGATGAAATAATTACAAAGAATCTATATGTCCATCATTTTTATGTGTATCATTGAAAAAAAATGCATTTTAGCTATAATATATATTATGTGTTTGGATATTTTGTTTCATGGTGTGTCACTATGTTGTGTTTTTTTATTTTTAAAAATTGTTATGATTTTTTGTTCAAACTTGAAAACATGAGTTGAATATTAGAGTTCAAAGTGAATTCAATTATCTAGTGTGCTTTTGTAACATGTCACCTTGTAGCACTTGTTATTATGTGGATAGTACATACAATATAATACCTCTCGTGTCTATTATAAGAAAGGATTTTGAAAAGGAAAATGGTGATTAAAATAAGGTAATTTATAATTTTAATAAATTTAATTTTTATTTTTCCTTATGTGTCCTTATTAAAGACATGATTTACATGTGGTGCTTTTAATGAGAAGAGAGTTTGAGAAATAGTAATTGACATTATTATCTTTCTCACATTAGACTCCACAGATTAGTAAAATAAAAATAAAAATAGAAATAAAAAATAGATTAATTAATTAATTTTCTTGATGTGTTTTCCAAACATTAATAGAAAAATAAAAAATAAAAAATGGACTAATTAATTATTTTCTCGATTTGTATGATTTTGTCAAAGCCTTTAGTAAAAATTGAAAAAAAAAAGATATATTGTGTTTATATTTAATTTATTTTACCATATTTTCAGTATTTGGATCTTAAGAGAATATATAAACTGAACGAATATTACACAAAGTTTTTTCTTAATTGATGTTTATTTTATCCTTTAAATGTAGGTCAAGTTTTGCTTTTTATTTTCAAATTTAAAAGTGACTTTTTACTTCCTAATACTAAAATCCACTTTTTTTCCTTGTTAGATATTAAAATTAATGATGACGTGGATATTTCATTTTGATATTACAGGAACTAAAAATTGAATTTTTAATTTGGTAAACAAAAACATTTAAACTTTTATTTTTCTTTTGTTTGAGTATTAATCCTTCTCTAGTTACATTCTTTAAAAATCACTTCAGTCTCTTGTATTGATTCATAAAAATGCTTGTTTTCAAAAAGTGGCAAGGTGAATGATGTTAATAGTAGTTATAGTTCAGGGTTTGTTGATGTCCGAGATGTTATGTAAATTAAAAATAAGAATAATTTAAATTATAGAAATAGATATATATTTCGTCAATTTTATAAGATTTAAAATAAATTTAAATTATTTTTTTCAAGAGTCAGAGAAAAATTTCATACAAAAATCATAATCAAAACTGATATTTAAACATGGCCAATCAAATATGAAACATGACTATCTTAAAAATGGTTTGAGATAACAAGCATAACAACGACAAAACAATGGTATTCGTGATTCTGACCTAATTATACAGAGATGAAATGTACATTTTCTTCTGCTTTTATTTGTCATTTGTCTCCTTCTAGTAACACAACGTTAATATGAGATGTACTAGAAAGGGTGTTGTTTTATTACTAGGGGAAGACGTGAATTATTATAATTCTTTTATTATAATGTCTTATTTTTTGTATTTAATGTATAACTTGAATAAAAAATGTCTTATTTTTTATTATAATGTGTTATTTCTCATATGCTAACATTTTATGCAAAAAGGAAAATCCTAATGAATGATTGTTATCCACATTGAGATTGTGTGCCAATGTTTGAGTGAAGTAATCCATACCCTACCCTTTCAGGTATATGTAATTAATGGTGCCAAATCCCATTTGAGTGGCATGCATAGCTCAATGCCCCACAGAAAGAGACTTTGGCCAAATGCTCCCTACCCCTGTCAACTAGGGACAGGGCCAAAACCAAAGCCAAAATTTTAGGCACCACAGTCAGTTCAGTTCAGAATGAGTTCCACATCAACTTAATTTTATATAAAAAATAAAAAATTCTAACTTTTTATTTAATATTAGACTTTCCATAATAAAAAAAACAAATCCATTAGCCAATCAGATTATAAAGTTTAATCTGTTTTGAATTGACCTCATCCAATTCCAACCTATTTTTAACCATGTTTTGGACTTCATCACACAGAGAATAAACCTCAGAATAAGAAAATGTTTGCAGAAATGTTTGCAACCACCACCTTTTCTTTATTATTGTTATTTCATGTTTATCTTTGATGTTATGTTATGCTGTAAAGGATTTTATATATGTATATGCTAGCAAAATTTTTTGGATCAATTTATTTCAGATTTCTGCTTTACATTGGTGATTCTTTGAAACAGCTAAGGATTTGTACTAGCTTTTATGATGAACTGTTTTTGTATAATCTTGCTCTCCTACTTATCTCTTTCTCCAGCTCTTCTAGCCCTCCCACTTCTTCAACTTCCTGCATCCCATATTTAACATTTTCAGTGACATTAATGATCAAAGTTTGAGGTAATCAACAGAAAATTAATAATTCCAAGAAGAATAGAAAACTAAAACCTGAAATATAAATTTAAAAGAATTATAAAATAGACATGAACAACGAAAAGAAACAAAATGCAGCATACCTTTGGTCCCATAAACAGCCCATACGGCACACCATCAAATTTTTCTGAATGGTGAAGCTGAGATAAAGACAAGAACAGTATCACGGGTATCAGAACATGAAAATGAACTTAACACAAATACTTACTTACTTTTGCTTTGAGAAAATCAAAATGTTAAGTATGTTTATCTATCTCTTTTTTCTCCTTAACAGGGATCTTAAATTCAAAACACAAATCTTAAAGCAAACTAATGTAGCAGAGTCTTGAAATTAAAAACTGAGTAAAAATCATAATTTGATGATTAAATTAATTTTTTAAATTCCCGAAAGTTAAAATACAAATAAAATAATAGACAATATGGGTTTTAAGAATGTAAATATATAAAAATAGTGAAGTGTAAAGGCATACACGAATTGTATAAAAGAATATACCAAGATGAAGATGTATTATTTAGAATGGTATTATTAGTATAAAGATGGATCAGAAAGTGAGAACATTTATTATAATAAAAAAGAATTATTTTTTGTGCATAATGTTATCTAATGATGATGATAATTACTTGGTGAGCAGAAGCCACTCTTCTTAAATAGGGCACGTTGGCAATGGGGCCCACAGGGAATCTCTTATGAACCAAGCCATCGTGTACAAACATGTAGGCCATCCCAAAGACAGTAATTCCAAGACCCTGTTCATAGTTGAAGGTATCTTAGTAAAAGTGTTCATTTGACAATAAAGTCTATGCAGTAATCATTGTTTAATGAAAACTCTTTTCCTACAAAACTGTTAATTAAGAATTTCACTCCCAATCAAACTCTTAATTAAGATATAACAAAAAGGATTAATATATTTAGTTTGAATTTTTGAGAATTCACTCACCGCACCGAAGCAAAGACCAGGGAAGAGTCCCTTGTGAAAGAAACCGTAGGAAAGGAGAGCGATGGCAGGGACAGCATTGATTATGGCAAATACATCGTTCAGTTCGAAGGGTCCTTCTCTTGGTCGATGGTGGGACTGCAATTGAAGTAAAGAAATTTGTTAGTTTGTGTGAAGCAGATCATGTAGTTTCTGGTCATTGGTTGCTGAGACATCACAAGGATTCACCAAAAAACCGAATCATTTGACACTTTGTGGTGCAAACAATTAGTAAAAAAAGTGTATTTAGAATGTTCATTTTTATGGGAATTGGTCTGTCAAATAAAATGTAAACACTAAAAAATAAATTCACTTAAATATGAGGACCAGAATGAACTAAACAAAGTACTTGAGTAAATTGAGTTAAACAGTGAAGAAGAAACATGATGCAGATGAAAGAACTGAAAGCATACCTCATGCATGTGCCACAAGGAAGCATGCCAGAGAGCTTTATGAGCCCATCTAGCCCAAAACTCCATACCCACCTGAAAATCAGACATACCCAGTTGAATTTTCTGATCGAAATTCTCAAAAGACATACCCGATATGAATCCCCAAACCATAAAAAAAAAATACTGAATGAATTGAAATCATAATCAGTCAACAGGACTACTTACAGCAGCACCCACTGACAGAGCAAATGTGCCAAACATTTCAGACCAAGGCACTTCTCCACCCTACACAAAACCAAACCCAATTTCACAACCAAATTATCTTCACATGCAAATCACCAATCATGCATGACAACAATGTCAAAGACACACAAGCAACAATTGTAAAAAAGACGGCAACAGAATCACATTTATCTCGTTTGTCAGTAATTTTTTGCAACATCGGGATCACATGGAACATGCAACCTTTTTTGAAACCTTGGCAAGAAGAGTAAGAAAAGGGGTCAAATTTTACCTCCATTTGCCACGCGAATCTGTAATAAACAGCGAGCACTGCCATGGATGTGACCCCGAAGCTGGACATGACAGCAGCGACGAGGTAGGTGAACCTCTCGGACTCTTTTCTGGCCAACTTCTCCGCCAACTTTGGTGACAAGACTTGGGGAGGAGAGGGTGATGGCTGCTCCTGGTCCTCAATTTCCATGTGGGTGCTTTTTTTGGGGTCCTGCGTTAGGACAGAGACAGTGAAAGGTGACAACTTTTGGGTCTTCAAGAAGGTTGTGTGGTGGGAATTTCTCAAGGGAGAGAAAGGAAGTGTGGCTGGAATTGGTTTGGGAAAGTGGGGATGGTGGTAGCGGAGGAAGGGCTTCAAGGTTATGGCGGCGGAGAGTCCTACCGCCATGGTTGAAGTGTGTGTGAGTGTGTAAGAGAGAGAGAGAGAGAGAGAGAAAGAGAGAGGTATTTGTGTTGTGTGTGAAGAGGAAAGGTTTGAAGTGAAGGTTTTAAAAGGGGATGAACAGAGTCCACAATTTTTCTCTTTCGTTCTTTTGTGTGGGGGCACTGTAGAAACAGAAAAATATTGCTGAAATGCGCTGACACAACCAATGGATAATTTTTTATTTTTTTTAACAATAAAAATCCTTAATTCACTAAATAAATCCTTTTAATTTTTATTATTTATTTCTTTTACTTATGTTTGCATGTAGGTGAGTTTTATTCATGCGGATGGAAACGAGAGTCTTACTGACGTTTGAATCAAACGATTTGAAAGCGTGGAGGTTGTGTTTTCATCATCTTCGCTAATATGCAAAGAAAGACGCAGAAATATAACTGTCCTAATTCAAAGTATACAATGACAGAAACAGTCCTGATTAAAAAATATCATCAGGGGTGAATGTAGAAAAAAAATCAATTTTTTTATACAAAAATCAGTTCCTTTAATATATATATTATATATATTAACTGTCCCTGTTTACCAACCTTGAATATGTAGTGTTAATATTACATATTAATGCATAGTAATTAATAAATCTTAAATGATAATAAAGTAATAAAAACATAGCAGAAGAAAACAATGACTTTTATTAATATTTGTTATCTACTAATCAATTAGTAGTTAATATTTATCGTACTTTCTATCTGGGAAATTAAATATCTTCCTATGCAATTTGTATTTGATTGTATACTTATAAAGACAATATTTATTAAATATTGCTCTTAATTATAAAATAATGAAAATTTAAGAATTTTCGTCAACATATAAGAGCAATCATATATATACACCACTTGATAAAATAATTTAGTAGAGTGTTATTGTGAGATTAAAAGTACAGCTGTCAAAACGGGTAATCCGGCCCGATCCGACCCGATCTACCACGGGTTGGCCATTTAGTGAGTCAACACAACCCGGCTCATTTATTAGCGAGTCGAAAAAATTCGAACCTGACCCGACCCACCACAGGTTGGTGGGTTAAACGGGTTGACTCATTGGCTCACTTAATTAACTTTTTTTTCACCCTCTTCTTCTCAAATTCTTATAACATGTTACTTTCATCGATCAAATTGAAACACTAATAATTGGTCCAATTGATATAAAAGAAAATGAAACAAAAGAAATATATTGTTATATATATTCTAAGCTAAGCACAAAAATTTTGCCAATTTACTTTAATGAAACATAGTTTGACCAAGAAACTACATATAGCCGTTAACAAAAATATATAGCACAAGATAAAACTGTCATGATAGGTCTAAAAACAAGATAAAACAAATGATATATAATGTTCATCCATTAAATTGGAGTCCTGATGGATAAATCCACAGTGTTATGCTCTCTTGAAGCATCTTCTTCTTTATCTTCATCTATAATATTATCCAATCTATAATCTTAGGGTTTTATTTGTAAAAGAGAACTTTTGGAAAGACAGTAGTGTGAAAGGCTTTATTGCTAAGTAAAGGTTGTGCATTTTGAATAATTAATTTGATTTTAATAAAAAAAAATAGGATTTGAATAATTAATTTAATTTAATTAAAAAAAATAGGTGGGTTGGTGAGCCAACCCGACCCACCACGGGTTCAACCCGTGTGAGTCGGGTTCTTAGTGAGCCGGGTCAAAATTGGCTCGCATCAAAAATTTTGCATTTTTTTCTAATCCAACTCGGCTCAAATCCGTGGTGAGCCGAGTTGGCTCACGGGTTTCAATCCATTTTGACGGCACTAATTAAAAGTAGGTAGAATAGAAAGTGGTGCTTTATAAATGAAATTTGATTATTATTAAAAGGAATAAACTTATTAATTTAGTTCATTAAATTTAATTTATCAAAAATTATCGTCTTTTTAATTTTTTATTTATTTATCCTCTCAAAGTTATCACATCTCTACTGGTCTTTTTTTTAATATGAAAAATTGTCCTGGACATTCTAGTATAGGGTATAACCTTTCTTTTTTGTCATAATATAGAATAAATTCATCTTTTACTTTATTTTTGAGTCATTTTTGAAAATGTACTTACATATAGAAGAATTACTTCCATGCATGTGACTTTATTAGATTTAAATAAATATATGTTTGGATGTGATCACAAAGATGTATTCGAATAATTTATTTGAAATTTTTTTTGTATAAGTAGATTATCTTATGAGAATTAGAATCCTTTAAGCTCAATAGTTAGTGTCGCAACCGGAATCGCGACGGGACGACGATCCAAAAAGAAACGGGTTTTAAAAAGAGATTTGGAGTCGCCACCATAGTTTATTATGGAAAACTATGGAAAAAACCTCAAAACGATAAAGCACGGTCCACGAAAACCAAAGATTGGGTTCGGGAGTCGGTTACGCGTGGGGAAGGTGTTAGCACCCCACAACGCCTGCCCTAAGGCAATACCTTTAACTAAATACGCGAATTTGATGTGGGTTTCAAAATGTTTAACTATCCCTAAAATAAAAATAAAAATAAACAAAATATATTTTTTAGTTTTTTGGGCCCGACAAGGATTGACCTTGCTCCTACGTATTCTCATTCAAAATGAGAAATCAGGGTTACGTAGTTCTAGCTGAAAGACTGTTTGTTTGTTTGAAAAAGCAGATGTTTTTAATTTTTGGAGATTTTTATGTTTTTAATATTTTCGAGAAAAAGAAGGTAATGAGTACTAGGCCGACGCGAACGGTCGCACGAGTACTCATACCTTTAAAATGATATTTAAATATTTTTAATTATTTTTGAAAAGAGAGATAACGATATTAAGCACTAGGCCGATGCGAACGATCACACGAGCACTCATACCGTTAT